AATCTGGAAAAGTATTTCGAGGTGCCTTATGGATTGTAGGAGAGTACTGTACAGAATGTCAAGGTACTTGTAAATATTTTAATTTTTAATACTCGCTAAATGGGAAATTAATCCGATGTCTTTTTAGATATTGAGGAAGCTTGGAAACAAATAAGAGCTGGACTTGGGGAAATTCCGATTTTGGCCTCAGAACAGGTTTGACTGGGTGAATTGCTAAGAAACTGTCCGAAAAAAAATATTATACTAATTTAATAAATATTTGATAGCGTTTACTTGAAGAAGCAGAAAAGGAAGAAAAGGGAGAAGATTCTGTTTCCGATAATAAATCTGCTAACACGTCATCATCTCGTCGTATTCTTGCTGATGGCACATATGCTACTGAATCCATATTTTCATCTAATTCATTAAATTCGGCAAAGCTTGATGCTGTTAAAGCAGCTGCAAAACCACCGTTGAGATGTAGATATGGTTTCTTATCAGTTATTCACAATGCTGTAAACATTAATTTCCTAATATATCACTTTATTTTAGCTTTGTTATTGAGTGGAGACTTCTTCCTTGGATCCGTACTTGCTGCAACTTTGACTAAGTTAGTATTGCGTTACGCTGGTGTCTCGAAGGATGTAAAAAAAACGAATGCATTGAGAGCAGAGGTAAAAAGCACCGTCATATTTTCATTCAATTTATAGAAATATTATGCTATGATTTATTTTGTTATATAGGCAATGCTTATAATGGCTAGTATAATTCGAGTTGGGCAATCACAATTTGTGTCAACACCTATTGATGAGGATTCATACGACAGAATCATGTCTTGTCTGCATGTTTTAGAACAGCTTTCAATTGATGCTTCAATCAAGTCCGCGTTCCTACAAGATACGAAAGCAGCCTTTGCAAGGATTGTAGAAGCTGAAGAGGTTTGAATAACTTTAGAATATTGATTTCAATTTTATTTTATACTATTTTCATTTGGAATAATGTCCTGGAATCAATCTTAGAAACGTACAGCAGCAAAAAAAGCTAAAGATAAATCCGTAGCAGCAGTCCAAGTTGATGATCTTATTTCTTTCAGACAATTTTCAAAGCGTAATTTAGGAGATGAAGCTGATGAGGTAATGTTTTGAATAAGCTTGTTCGTAAAAAGCCTGATCTTATTACCTGAATTAATTTAAGTTTGTCATAGTATGAATTGGATCTGACACGCGCTACTGGTCAAAGTGATCCGAGAGATGATTTGATTTCAAAACTTAGCCGCGTTGTTCAACTTACAGGTATTGCTTATAAAACCTTGTAGGTGTCTTTTTTATTTTTTTTTCTCTTTGTTATAAATTAAGTGTGTATTATTGTTCCTTAATAGGATTTTCCGATCCTGTATACGCAGAGGCTTATGTCAACGTTCACCAATATGATATTTTACTGGGTATATCAATACATCTACTCATTTATATATATAATCAGATTATTTTTTACAAATGTATATTTTTATGGAATTTCAGATGTCCTGATTGTTAATCAAACCAGCGAGACATTGCAGAACCTCTCTATAGAGTTTGCTACTTTGGGTGATTTAAAACTAGTTGAGAGACCTACACAACATAATCTCGCGCCCCATAGTTTTCACAGTGTTAAAGCTACTATTAAAGTAAGTGCTCTTGCTTTGGATTCGTTGAGAAGCATAATCTCATCCTCATTTTCATACTTCCTGATAATACACTCAATGTAATAGGTTTCATCTACAGAGACTGGTGTAATTTTTGGTAATATTGTTTATGACGGACCTGGTACTTCTGAGAGCAATTGTGTTGTGCTTAATGACATTCACATTGATATAATGGATTACATTAATCCTGCGTACTGTAATGAAACTCAGGTGTGTTAAGTAAATTTCAACATCGGTGCATTTAAATTAAACTAAGTCTATATTTTCGTTTTGTTTGCAAACTAGTTCCGAAGTATGTGGACAGAATTCGAATGGGAAAATAAGGTCAACGTTAATACCAATATCACGTAAGTATAGTTATTTATCCTTTTCAATGAGCTATCAGAATTGCTATTAACATAATTTTTATTTATTTATTAGCGATTTACGAGAATATCTATCTCATATTATGAAATCAACAAACATGAGTTGTCTAACTCCAGAAACTGCATTGTCCGGGAATTGTGGTTTCTTGTCTGCTAACATGTACGCTCGTAGTATCTTCGGTAAGATTATAGTTCAAAATATACATCACTTGTTGTGATAGAATAATGGTAATTATATTATCATGTAGGCGAAGATGCATTGGCTAATCTTAGTGTAGAAAAACAAACTGACGGTGCAATTACCGGTCATGTTCGAATTAGAAGTAAAACACAGGGAATAGCATTAAGTCTCGGAGATAAGATCACGTTAGGTATGTCTGCATCACATTTAATTAGTTGAAATATTAATCTGCAACATTTATTATCCGGAGCGTAGCGGAGGATATTATGGGGGGCACCTATTTTTAGATAGATGATCATCAATTTATCAACTATATCAACCAATACATTTACATTTATTTTTAACTATGCTCCGGATACCCAACAGTATCTGTTTTCCTAGTATTAATTGTATATTTCATTTATTCGATATCCCAGCACAAAAGGCTTTAGCTTAAGAAACCTATTTAATTAATTTAATTTATTAAATTATAATGAGCATAACTTAGAATTAAAATTGTTGAGTCGTATATATATGTTACACGATATGTTACATGTAAATTTTTACATATATAAAAAGGGGTTGTTGCTCAATTCCCCGAAAGCTATTTACCCGGCAGGCCACTTACCCGACATCACATAGGGTTAGGGTTAGCCTTTGATTAGCTGCAGGTATATATTTTTAGCAATTTGTCACCCTTGTGATGTAGGGTAAGTGGCCTTTCGGGTAAATAACTTTCGGGGAATCATACCGTAACCATAAAAAGGATATTGTTAAATATCGCAGGTTGCTATATCGCAGGTTAATATGATCGACCAATTAGATCACAGGATCTTGTGTAACAAAAATGAACAAAAAATTAGAAAAAATTAAAAGTTTTAAATATCTCGAAATTTCATTATGTGAACTAGTCTTGGACTTCTAATTAAAAGCTTTTAATACTTAATTTTGTATATATTTATGTTTTCTAATACTAGCTTGAATCCTAACCCTAATTAATAATAATTTAAATTTTTTTTTTTAAATGTATATTAACCTGTGATATCACAACCTGCTACATTTAACAAATTCCTATTTTGGAATATTAAATTGTATAATAATAATATAATTAAGTAAATAAAATTAAAATATTGTTATAATATATTTACAATATAATTTTAATATATTAAATTATATTATATTATAATTATATTGTATTTGTGTTATTATTATTTATAACTTTAAAACAATAATATAAAAAGGGAATTGATATTTCTACACCTTTTTTTTGATAATTTCACACCCCCTGTTAATGTAGATCATTTTAAATTATTTACAATTTTTTAAAACTTTGATCAAAAATATCACAATACCCATCTAACCAAATTCGACAAATAGTTTTTTATTTGAATTCTATAGTTTTTTACAATCAAAATAAAAAAAAATCATTGAATTTTGATTAGGTAGATGTCAAGATATCTTTGATTAAACTTTATATAAAATTTTAAACAATTATTAAATAAAAACTGTCAAAAATTGTTTTGAAATTTTTATCAAAGATATCTCAACACCTACCTAACCAAATTCGATGAACTTTTTTTTGTTTGAATTCTATAGTCTTCTACAATCAAAATAAAAAAAGCTCATCAAATTTGGTTAAATAGGTGTCGAGATATCTTTGATCAAAGTTTTTGTAAAATTTTAAACATCTATCAAATAGATGTTACGTCAAAAATTGGTTTTAAACTTTGATCAAAGATATCTTGATACCCATCTAACTAAATTTGCTAAATTTTTTTTTGTTTGATTTCTATTATCTTCTACAATCAAAATAAAAAAAAGTTTATCGAATTTGATTAGGTGGATGTCAAGATATCTTCAATTAAAGTTTTTGTAAAATTTTAAACATCTATTAAATAGAAGCTGTGCCAAAAATTGTTTTTAAACTTTGATCAAAGATATTTTGACATTCATCTAACCAAATTTAATGATTTTTTTTTTTATTTTGATTGTAGAAGACTATAGAATTCAAACAAAAAAAGTTGATTGAATTTAGTTAGATGGGTGTTCGAAATATCTTTGATCAAAGTTTCAAAATAATTTTTAGCACAGCTTCTATTTAATAGATATTTAAAATTTTACAAAAACTTTGATCAAAGATATTTTGACACCCACCTAATCAAATTTAATGAACTTTTTTTTATTTTGATTGTAGAAGACTATAGAATTCAAAAAAAAAGTTTATCAAATTTGGTTAGATAGATGTTGAGATATCTTTAATAAAAGTTTCAAAACAATTTTTAGTGTAGTTTTTATTTAAAATTTTATATAAACTTTGATTGAAGATATCTTGACATCTACCAAACCAAATTTGATGAATTTTTTATTTTATTGAGAAAACTATAGAATTCAAATAAAAAAATAATTATCAAATTTAGTTAGATAAGTATTGAGATATCTTCGATCAAAGTTTTAAAAAAATTATAAATAATTTAAAATGATCTACATTAACAGGAGTATGAAATTATCAAAAAAGGGGTATAAAAATATCAATCCTCTATAAAAATTATATAATAACAATATAATAATTGTATTATTAAAAAAACACAGGTTTCAGCAAAGTTCTTCTTTGTTCTTGAAGCCTTCTGCTCTAACTTGTTTCTAGCTTTAACTTTAATTCAGCATATTGTTTTTCTCTTTTTTCTAACAGTCTTCAAATTCTATTGGTTATTTTTAATTTTATTATATAACCAACTATTTCTTCAATTATAATATAGTTAATTGGGTCTTTCTCTTTTTGTATTGCTTCATGAAAAACCTCCTGTTCTCTTTTTATAAATGCAAGTTCTGTATATTTTAGTTTTCTTATATTATAATACTATAATTCTTCGTAGAGCTTATATATGCTACCAAAATAGGTTTTCAAAAAAACTCTATTTTATTTCTATTAGAACAATTTGGAATTTTTTATATGCAAGAGCAAATCTAATTTAGATAGTTATATTCTTTATAATTTCGTTTCTTCAAAAAAAGTGTCAAAAAATTTTATCTT